CGTATGTGTGTGTAAAACGGGGGAATTGGGGCCCTAAAGAAACCTCGCTAGCTATATCACACTGACCGGTTCTAGATAGGAGAGACTCTAGGGTAGTGTACGGACATACACACTACACACACACATCCAGTATAATGCAAGCACCACAAACACAGGCACCACATAGCACCCCGCGCGTTCACCATGCCCGCCTAATTGACTTGGTCTGAACATACCGCAAGACCAATGAACCGACTATATAGTCAGTCAGTTAACCAAAAAAACAGCCTCATGCGGTTTCACGAGCACATTCACAGAGTAGGCGAGCATATCTGTCTGTATGTGCGCATACTGTGTGTGTGTGTATGTGCACGGTACAATGGTTATTGGTTGACCTTTGATGTGGACGGATGAGGGTGCTAGTAAGCCAGAAACCATTAGATACCACCAATGCAGACAGACCTTGCTAGGAGAGTTAAGCTCATGAGTGTGAGTGAGAGTGTATGTACAGGCGCGTTCGTACTCGTTTCTAGTTAGTGTGGTTTTCAATGTCTTCATGTGATCGGGTTCGATTTAGCCTGATTTGACTAAATTCGACTAACTCTGAAGTCGGTCCTTCCTCCTCTCGGCGTTCAATCGGCCATCTCCGTGCACACCAAATAAGTAAACCCATTAACCTTACTGACCTTCAAGTGGGCATTGTCTTTGATGCTCGTCGATGTCACGTGATAGCATTTATCGAAGCGTTGCAAGTGAATGCAGACAGTACAGTGGACAAAGTTCAAGTGGATCAGAGGCGGTGTATTTAAGGTGATCTGCCGTAGTCCAACTGGACGATGTATAAATTGTGCAATGGACGGATACAACGCAGCATGTGCAACGAAAGATCGTCGGATGCACTGGAGAATGAGCCGATCAATTAGATCAGGAGTTCAGTAGCACCTCGTGTTCTTGAAAAATGACCGTCACAAATTAGGTCATACAGTGATATATGATCACCAGTGTTCCATTCCATTTATCGTTGGGTTCTTTCTTTTTTCCT